ATTCCTGACATGTGTGCAATTATTATTCTCATTAGTAAATTGTATTATTCCACCTGTTTGTGTAGCCTCACTTACAAAAGAGTTCTTAAGGCTCCTCTTTTAAAGGATGTGGAGAGTTCCCTGAGTTGATATTCGTGTCAATTTACTCTAGAAAATCCCACTGAATATCTAAGAGATGCTTACTTTTCAATTCACTTGAGTCTTTTTCTCCCCTTTGATTCAGAGATAGCATGTTCCTCAACATGAAGAGGTCATGCAAAAAACCTATAAACTATGTTGTGCTGAAAATCTATGTGCCCAGATCTACATGAAAACCTTCTTAGATCCAAAAGTTCTCAATTTTCCATAAACAGATATGTACATGAACTGTGAGAAAAGGAAAATCATGTGAAATGAAAAGTTTGCTCACTCACAGGTCAAAAATGTAGGTCATTATATTATTTCTCCATCCTCAACACTCCCAGTACAATCACTTAAATGTCACAGGTACCCAATACCTTACAGGTTGAACAAAGTATTAAATTAATTTTAACATGTAAGGGAATTTAGTGGTGTTCTAGTCTCTTACTGTCATTTCACAGAGGATAAAAATGTTGACACAAAATTTTAACGTGCTTTAACTATATACACAATTTTTGTATACAGTCAGGAATATAATCCAAGGTTTGTAATTTCCAGTGAAGAACACTTTCTTCACCTAAAAAAAAGTACCATTTATTGAGCACTTACTATACACAAGGCATTTCCCTTACCATATCTGATGTCAAAGCTTCAGGAAAAGCCTACTGAAGACAAACTTCATTGCAGATGAAGAGACTGAGGCTCAAAGAATTTAAGTGTCTTGATAATGGCAAGGAGAGTCAAGGTTTGAACCCAAGTCTGTTTGTTTCCCATACTACTACCTCCAGTGTAACCTCACATTAGATTTCATTAAAAGCATAAAATATCAGTCAGAGAAGGAATTGTGTGGGCTTGCTAAAGAAAGCTAAAAATCTTTTTATCATTTTGCTTAAAAAACAAAAAGTTGGGTCAAAACAAACAGCCTACCAAAATACATAGTTAAATCAAGCGTGTGATTCCAAACTCATCTATAAGATCAGATTTGTCATTATTTATTCCTGCAGAAAAACATCTGAAAGCTGAGTGATCACAGGTTACCCTCATCAAATCACCAGAGGCAGACTGCATGTCTTAGAAAGATGAAGAGGTGGGCAGAAGAGAGAAAACCAGATCACTACCTGAGGTAAAGAGCACCACGCGGCAGGCACATATTGAAATCCTTGCTTTTCTACAAGGAGACAAAGCTTCCAGCCAAGAGCACATCCTCCCCACCATCAGAAATCAAGTCAAAAGAGGATGACTTTTCTGAAAGGTCTGAGTTTTTCTGTCCTGCTTTAAAGTCTACAGGACAAGTCATCCTATAGGGTTTTAGAGTTGAATAAACCTGAGTGCCAGTCCCGCTCTTCCCCTGAACTGCTGATTCCTCTTAGCAACTCATGTAGCCTTCCAGAGCCTCAGCTTCCTCCTCCATGTAATGGGAACAAGAATACCTACTCATGACGTTTTCATGAAAATTAAGTGAGATGATAAATGCCAGGCATCGACCTGGCCCCTCCTTGGCACTCTGTTTACTAAAGTTGGATGGTAAATGTCAAGTGCCAGGGCAATTAAAGGCAAAGAGATCCATGAAAACCAGCCAAATCACCATGTCCTTTGATAAATGCAGCATTAAAGATATCATAATGCCAACACATAAATCAAGTAAAAGCTTCTGCTAACAAATCTTTTAACACTATTGCCAGTGAGAAAGAGGGGGAGTGGTGAATTGAAATATTCAAATTAACTCCAGCATAAAAATATGAAGAAGAGATATTAATGCTCATTACCTACTTACTACCTACCAAGGATTTTTTAAAAATTTGTAAGTGTAGCACTTTGAAATCCCAGGGAAATAAGGAATAAACATATACACCATCATGCACACACATATAGACAAATATATTTTTAAAACTCTAAGGATTACTATATAAATTTAGATCAGGGCACAGCATGCCTGGGATGAGTAGGGTAGGAACAATATGTTCTTCCTTACGCACCAAGCTCATGACAAATGATTCATACCCAGCACCTTTCATGCCAGAAGATCCCCCCAGGTGTTCCACCAACTCTAGCAACGGTTTCCATCAAGCAAGAAGACTGCAGTATAGAGGAATCACATCCCACCCACAGATGAGGCAAAACAGTCATGTCTTTACACAACCGCACAAGTCCAATGGCTGAGGGGGCAGAAGAGAGAGGGAAGTAGGTGAGTGAACAATCTAGAATCCCTCACCAGTTTGACAGGCAGCCTATAATTACCATACATTTGTACCTTGAACACAGGTGTTATTGTAATCAGAGGCTCTTCTTAGCGTTGTTTTTTTTTTTTTTTTTAGTTAAAGGTGAGACAGTGTTAGAGGATCGATTTCCTGTGTCCCTGAATGGATTTATAAAAAGATGGGAGCCCCCAATTTTGCCCTTGGGTTTAAGTTATTGGACTTTCATTCTGGGGGGATGTGAGAGAATTCCGAATAAGTGTAAGGGGTATTCTTGGTAATTAATTTGATAGTCACTGCCCCCACTTTAAAGATGAGGTGTTCCATGCCCAGAGCACAACAGACTTGTAATGGTCAAGCCACAAATACACAGCATTAGAACTCTATAGTCTCTGCTCTTTTTTTTTTTTCAAAAAGTTGCCAGAAAAGTTTCTTTCTGCCTTCTTTCCCTTTAAAAGCATTTTAATCTTTGTGTCTCCTATGAGTTTGGTCCAGAAAAGTAGTACTAGCTTTATTTTGGAGATCCTGGATAAAAACTGTTTCTCTTCTCCAATATCTGCATGCATACATTAAATATAAAAAATAACAATTGTGTGCAATGAGCAGGGAAGGGACAGGAGAGGAGAGGGGTGATATCATCCAGAATAAAAGACTTCAGAGGGTAGAAATCTCATCTCATTAGTTAACAGGATTGGACTGTTCAAACCTTAAACACTCACCACCTTGATTGTTTTCCACATTACCTCAGACTTGCCTGCATATTTTAAGCCTTGACCCTAATAAGCCATACTGGACTTATAAGCACCATTTATTAAAAAAAAATATTAAGGGCTGGCAGTGCTTTCTGCCATTTCTTAAGTGGAGGTTAAAATTTGCCAAAGATATATTCTCCTTTTCTTACTCTTTCCAAGATCTTTCAAGACAGAAACTAAAGTAGAGGTCTAGTGGGTAAGTGATTTTTTACAGCTCGAATTACATTAAAAGCCAAAAATATCTTGAGTCCAAAGTTTTTTTTTTTTTTTACTTCTTAATACAACATGATCTAACATGTCTGATGTGTTTAAAATCTCCCCCTAACGCCAGAGCTGTGCATTCATCACTTAAAGAAGGTGAAAGTTATTCCATCAGTCTAAGAAAATTCAAGTTCAAATTGCAGAATTAATTTTTTTGGCCATGATATGAAAGACATGATAGTTAAGGTACAGGATGAGGGCAAGGGTGTTCAGGTTTGAAAGGAAAGAATTTCATCTTCAATTATTTGATTAAACCACTCCTAAGAACCATATAAAAACCATAGCCTCTGTCACGAAGGCTGCATTGTAGGGAAAACTCTGCTGGTACTCTCAGGACAGAGACATCAATTCAAAATACTTTGTATCCCGATTTGCCTTAGTACAAGGAATCTGTGATGATGGATCATATTTTAAAATGCTCACAACTCTAATTAAAAACCGGACAATGAGCACAATAGACAAAAGTGGCAGTCGACAGGGGAAATTTCTGGCTTTTAAACCCCCACAGAAAACATTTCCAAAGGTTGTAGTTTGCATAGACTGTGCACCTTACAACCTCTACAACCCCAATGACCTGACTGAAGCTGAAACCTGGATTTTTTTTTTTCATTTTATGTCTTTGATTTTTAGATTCTTCTTGTCTATTCATGGCAGCTCAAAGAACTTTCCATACTTTTAAATTGTTTTGGTCAAAGCTAGTTCTTTGGTATTTCAGCTCATTGAAGTTTTTGGGTTCAGTTGAAACTGTAATAGCCCCCTCAGAATGCAAATACACAGGGTTTTCAAAAAATCTAAAACCTTCCCTGACATGACCATGCCATTGTACCCCCGAGTCCTCTGGAATCCCCTCCTGGAATCCAGCAATCGTTTTCCTGCCTTCATAACAGAAATGGCAAGTCTTTATTTGTGCTCCTCACTAGAGGAGGTCAGACACTGGGGGAGAACAGGGAGCTGTTGTCACTGGCATATATCTGATCTTCCTGAGACTGATCATGCCAGAGAACAACCACTCTTTCATGAGCTGGAAAGCCCCAGCTCTCAAAACACACTTGCTAGTGCTGTTAGAAGATGCTGGAGAGTTCCTGCCCTGAAACTTGCATCCACTCGGTCCCCCAAACAGAGAATCCAATAAAGGGCACCTTATATTCCCCTGCAGTTCCCCCATCCTGTGAAGGGGTTAGGAGTGCCACATAAAAATAAAATAAAAGCCCCCATATATAAGTCTTCTTGATCAGACTTGAGCCCGTCCATAAGTCTAGCAAGTAAAAGGAAAGTCACAGTCACTTGAGGCACTGTCCATTTGTCTGGAAATTTAACCCTTTCATGCCTACACTGAGTACTTTAACCCCCTTGTCGGCCTGATCTTCATTCTACACACCTATACCACCAAAAAGAGAAAAAAAGAAAAAGAAAACACTAGTAAATAGGGATTTGCTGCTCAGTTGGAATCTTCCTTTGGGATGTGGAGAGGGCTCTGATGATTTGGGTAGGAGAGGGAGGTGGAGGTTAGCCTCATAGTAGGTTATATTAACTCCTGAGGGAGGAGGGCAGAGAAGACTTCAGTTTGCAGGATCTCACAAGACCCATTTCCCCCAATTCTCCATCAGATCAAACAGTGGACTTTAACCCTTTCCATCTTTCACTCCTTTGCCCCCAGTCCCCATCTACTCACGCTGCTGTTGTGGCCGGACCAATGGACCATGGCTTGGTTGTGTGCGGAGTCTCCTGTCAGTGCAAACGTGGTGCTGGTCAGTCTCAGCTCCTCCATTCGGAAGCGGGTGGCTTTGTCCAGGTCCCGCTCCGGAGTCCCAAGCTCTGGCTGCCCTCCATCCCTCAGTACTCCCCGGGGGCTCCTACTGGAGCCCTCTACCCTTTCTGCCTTCTCCTGAACCGCTCCACTTCGTCTCCTTCGGCTGGAGCGTGCGGCAACCGACACCGACGCCCCGGTGCCCCGGGCCCGCTCCAGGGATAGCGCTCGGTCCCCGGGGGCCACTGCAAACAGGGGGCGCACAAGAAGCGGCAGGGGCGTGGCAGGAGCCCTGCCTGACGGTCCTTGGTGGAAAAAGCCCCCTGGGGTCGTGGTCCAGCGTCCAGCCGAGTTGGGGTGCTGTGGGGGGCAGCAAGAACCGCTGCTGCAGGCGCCCGGGGCGCAGAGGACCAAAAGCCCCGCTCCGGCGAGAAGCGCACTCAGCCGGGCTGCGGAGCTGCCGCCGGCGCCAACTTTTCCCATCGCGGGAGCAGAGAGGAGCGGAGAAGAGGTCCCAGACCGAAGGAGGCGGCGCGGGGCTCTCCGCTGGCGGCGGCGGGGGCAGGTGCTCAAGACCCCAACTCCATCCAAGTTGGGCCGCGGTGGGGCGGGTAGAGGAGGCGCCGGGCAGGTGGCGGCCGCTCGCCGGGGCTGGGCTTGTGCCGAGCGCGGGTTCGGACCGAGCGAGCCGCCGCCACGCGGGGGTGGAGCTGCACTGAAGTCACAGGCGGAGCGGGCGCTGGCGCGCTGGCGGGCGACGCGGGAGGGAGGGCTGGCGCTGCCGGGGCTCCGGGCTCCGCGTCCCGCCGCCTAGCTGCGCTGCGCACCCGGGCTGCGGGCACTGGATGCACCGCCGCGACCCTCCCTGCGGCCTCACAGGCGCCGCCGCCTCCGGCTTTGCGCCCCCGCGGTCTGCGGTCTCGGGTCCCAGTGAAGAGCTCGCGCACCCTTCCCGTGGGGGCGGCCGGCCCAAGGCTCCCAGGCTGTCGCTGTATGGAGGGTTAATTTATTTATTTATTTTTCCTGTTTTACCGTTTCTATCAGTCTCTGCTGCTGTTTCCCTTTTCCTCTTTTTCTGATGTTCTCCAGTTTAGGAGGTAGATGGGTGGGCTCTTCCTCTTTGCCTTTCTTGTTCTCGGAGGGTTGGCGCATCTCAACCTTTCTCTGAGCAGAGCCTGGGTCCCAGCAGCCTGGGGGAGATCCCGGAAAGGCAGCAGCAGAGAGTGATGTAATTAAATGATCTCGCGGACGTGTGTGTGTGTGTGTGTGTGTGTGTGTGTATGTGTATTTAGGGGATTTTCCATCGATTATTACGCTTAGATTCCTTTCCTGATCTCCTAAATCACTGTATTTGAACCCAATCTTTTTGCCTACAAACATATTGGAGAACACTTTTCTAAACCAAGGTTCCACTTGGAGTTTTGTAGGCATAATAACATTTTGGCTTCACTAAGGGACTGGAAACTCACTGAAGACAGGAATACCAATTGTGAACAACTTGGACAAAAAGACCTGTTCAGTTTGTTTGCCATTTTATCCTCAATGCTTGGCACAGTGCCCTACATGATAGGAAACCATCAATTCAATAAATACGCATTGTGAGTCTATAATGTATTTGTATATGAAATAAATACAGGAAAGGGGGCATGGTGCTATATTTACCCTCTGTCCTTTGGTGCCTAGCTCAGTGTCACCAACACAAGACTTGAGATCTCCATTAGCAAGTCTATTCTGAACACTCTTACTAGGTTGCTGTGAGATCTCAGAGAAGTCACAATCTCTGAGTTTGCCCCCTTTAAAATAAACTGGTTGCATTAGATGACCTTTAAAATCCCTTCCACTCCTAAAATTCTGCAATTGTATTATTATAATATCAACCCAACTCAGTTCCCCTGCTACTGTTTAAAGTTTAGATGGTAAACTTTTGAGTTCTGGGTTTGCAGTGAGACCAACTTGGAAGTAATGTAGAGTGGTACTGACCCTTGGATTTATTAAACCCTTTCCAATGCTGCCCAAGAGGAACTTCTAAGATATCGAGTTAATCCAGAGAGGTGTTTAAAAAATTATTTAAGTCACTGTTCTTATGACCAATGCAAGAAAAGTGCAAATACAAAGAGGAAGTCTTCTTTGCCATTATGTTAGAGTACACAGCAGGACAGAAGAATATATTCTTGTCATTAAAGGACTCCATGGGCTGTTCTCCCCAAAACACCTTTCACTGCACAAGTATGGATCCTCCAGAAACATTGTTTGGCAGAATGTTCTCCTCGAGCTGGAGGAGAACAGGGCCAGAAGTCCTTTTTCCTCTCCAAATTGCAAGTGCTCTTTGTCAAAACCCAGGGTGCTCATTTTCCTCCCCTCAAGAAGGTTTTCAGAGCTTTACAGGATCATTTGCTTAATGTCTTCTTTCTATGCCCCGGTAACCTCCTTTCTAGTCTGGATAAGTGTGTGGGAATCCCTCCAAGAAAGGAAAAGCAGATTAAAGAATCAGAACCCAATAAATTCCCATCCAAATTCAGGACTGGAAAAAGCAAAAATGGAAAAGAATAAATAAGTGGATTCATATTTTCTGGCCTTAGTTTTTTTTCTTCCCATACCAAAATCTGTATTATTTTAAGTATTAAAATGAAAATTCTTCTGAAGAAAATTGGTACAAGCAGAGTGGATTTTTCCTTCCCAGAGCATAGAACTATCATCTTTCCAAATACGGCCATTATAATAAGTCCTGTAATTCAAAGCATTTACAGTCCATTTGCTGGTACTTTGTAGACATTTTTAATGTCTGATTTTAATTATCTGTTTGAGAAAAAAGTTTCAAAAATATAGATAAAATTGGCTTCAAGAAATATTGTGGGTGCTTGTGTGTCATTTTTTCCCCTTTGACTTGTATTAATAAGTAGAAAGGACAAGTGCCAGTAATATCCTAAACTATTTCCATCTAACTAAGACCCTAAGTATTAGGCTAGTCATGGTGAAAAGTCTATTTCAATGTGTTTTTAATCCAACAACCTACTAAGTAGGGTTTATCAGTATAATGCAATCAGAATGGATCATTTATTAGGAAAATAGTTGATATAAAAGGCCAGTAGAGTTCATACACTGATAATTCTCACAAGTCTCCACATTATGCATATGAAAAATCTACCATTGCTTTGTCTAGATCTTCGCCATTTCACATCTGGACTAGCTAGACCAACAACCCCTTTACTGCCTGCCCAACTTCACAATTGCTCTGTACCATCCTATTTCTCCAGTAGTTATCTCCAAAGCACCACAAGTTGACCTATTCATTTGCAGGAAGAAAAGAATACAACTTGGTGATACATTTAATTTTAATGAAAAAATTAAAACTTAGCCTCCCCAATCATCAATTACTGGATAATCAAAACAGTTTAGATACTTTACCCTACAGTGAAGAAAAGGTAGTCTTTCAAAATTATAAAATATAATTTCTCATCACTGCTTGACACCCTTAATCAATTTAATATTGAAAACAGAATACTATCCACACTCCTTAGCATGGCCATCAGCTACCCTTTTCTCAATACCATTTGGCAGTTCTCTCTCCCTCATTCATATACTCCACTCATCCAGAGTTGACCTTTCCTCCAATGTGCCTAGAATTTTTTAACTTGTAACTTTGCACATGTTGTTCCAACTGCCGGGAATTCCCACCACCACCTTCACTTCCCACGATTGATTTCTCTTTAAGATTTTTACTTCAAATATGCATCCAGGGGGACTTTACCTGATGCCCCTACCCAAAGAAGATATCCCCTTCTCATTTTCTGTATCAGTCTCTTACTGGATCATTCTTAGCATATGTTACAGTCTTCTACCATTTTATTTTGACTTTTTTTTCCTAATAATCACTAAAAACACTAATATGAATAATGACCACATCTTCCTTATAGATCAGCTCTTTTTCTAATGTCTCCCTCATGATCTGGTCCATTCATAAATAAATAATGGCTGGCTGGCACTTGTGTAACAAGACTACCTGCAATAACTCTTAATAGCTAACACTTTGTAAATCAGATATGTACTCTGTGAGAAACTGTGCTAAGGATTTTAAAGTACCAACTCAAGTGGGCTTTTTATTTAAGTTTATCTCAGTATTATCATTTCCCCACTTTACAGATGTTGTTGTGCAGTTATCGAGAATCACACTAGAGGTTAGTGCAAAGTCAAGGCTTCTACATAGGCATCCTTATTCCTGAGAGGCACATAACTTTATGCAGTGTTCTTTTTACTTCAACTCCAACTAATGACAGATAATACTTATTGGAGACTTACTGTGTGCCAGACACTCTAGTACTTTTAATAATTTTTAGTAAGGATAAGCAAGCAATTTTGGAAACAAGTGATCAAGTTTGTTTGGGAAGGGAGAACATGTATACTCTATTTCCATTTGCTTTTATTTGATGTATGTGGTGGAGTCATTTTAAAGAGAGCAGAATAGTCACTACTCTCATAATCTCACTGCAGGAGCTACAAGTTAATTCTTTTACTGGATTTCCTTCTTTCCCTTTTCCTACATTTCTCCATTTCTTATGGATACCTTGGCTGCACTTGCACTAAATCACATTATATGCCTCATAATTAGAACAATGTCTTTTAATAGCTTTCAAAATACTTGGCTCTCCTTGGATACCATTGAGACAAGGTGTCTTGCTTTTTAGATCATTTTCATGAAGAATCGCAGAAAGATAACCAGAGAGAATAATAGGCAGGTTATTCTCATCAGCTGCCAAGGAAATTTGGGATTTTCAAAACTGCCCCTAAAAATACATTCAAATATCAACAAATACTGATCTAGGTCTGAATCCAGTCATCGTACCTTTATCATATATCTAAATTAAGTGGCTTTAGCAGAAAGATTTAAGCCTTCTCATCTGTAAAAATAAGGCTAAAATTATCTACCTGACTTTCATGAATGTAATGAAAATCAACTCAACTTTGTACACCTTGCAAATAACAATACTGTCTTGTATTTATGAGAATTCTATCTCATTAGACCTCTAAACTGTTTTTGTTTTTCTCCTAGTTTAATAAATCTTGCAGCAGCTCCAAAAGGTAGGTAGGGGGCAGTTTTTGCCTGCATCTTACAGAATAAAAAGACATTTATCCAAGGTCATAGAGTTAGAGACAAAACTTAGAATAGAATTCTGATATTCTTTTTCCTTCATTTAGTCCTATTCTGTCTCCAATATGTATATGTATGTATATATGTATACATAGGTATATATATATATATATATATGTGTGTATGTATTAAAATCCCACACTATTTATACTTGGCTATTACATTTTGTTCACACAGACATTTCAGGTTTCAAAGGATGTTTTTATAATTAAGTAGGAAAAGAAAAGCATGAATTATTATCAGTGTCATTTTGTGAACTCATATATGCAGATATACTTTACCACTTAAATATTCATACTTAATGTAAAACAAATAAAATGTGCACTATAACTAAGTCAGTTTATTTAGAGATGACATTATTAGGCTTTTAAAAATAAACCTTTACTCTCAAATCTAAGAATTCATTAATTAACTTCTTTATTGTCTTAAAATGATCTGAAAACTGTAGAAAATTACTTTTATAATCACTTTCTCCTGACTTCCTCAGCCTGAAAGTCCAACAGGAAAAG